CTAGGACATTTAGCGCTGGTTCCAATTTATTTTTGGATGGACGAATCAATTGTCCTATAAACGTAACTGCTATCAGAGAAACCAGTTCATTCCCATAAATCACTGAGGACCAAGTCTTAAGAGTGTACTCTCCAAGGCTATTTTGTTTGGGTTGACCTGTTTGGAGCCCCCTTACAAATCTAATCAGGCTCACCCAATGAGTGGGCATCGAGATTCCCCATAGGTCCACCACCACGAGCAAGTAGTGCACTGTACCACATATTATCACGTCAATACAGTTCTGCACATTATTGGAAATATTTTCAATCTAATGCCCATTTGAATTGTTCTCAGAGTGGAGGCACTCCTGAAACTAGAAATGGTTTGCTGGAAGTACAGAAGGCGTTTCGCGAGGCTGGCTTAAATTTTTCAAAACAGGTTTTGATCTCAGGTTTTTCTTTCTGCTAGTATTAATTTTCTCCTGCTTTTCAGAGTGTACCAGAGATACTCTCATGTGTTAAAATTTGTAATTGTAGTTCATGGTAACATACTGCTTAATCACTGGTTGGACGTAAATTAACCCGCATCTTCCGATGTTTAAATACATATACTTACATCTCTTCATCACCAAATTATTAAACTAAGTTTCCTTGCATTTCCACGGTTGAGTATAATCATCTTGTGCTTCTTTTGATTCAAGAACTAAAATTTTCATCTTCCTTTTGTAATCATCTCGTGCTTCTGGGAACTAACATGCAAAAGTTCAGTGCATTCTTGTAAAGCTTGTCTAAAAACATTTGTCCTTCAACGTTCATGCTTGAGTTCAAATTAGCATGAAAATCTTTAAGTAAAATTAGAGTGAAAATCTGGTCAAATGCCTCTGTGAGTAAAATTAGCCCTCACGCTTGTGGCTCCTCCATTTTCATTATCTTTTTATTTATTATTATTAATATTTCATTCATATTATTTTAAAATTCTTGACATGACCAAGAATATAATTTCTAGATGGAAGACGTTCATATTAGTCATTTTGTTTTGTTTTGATTATTTTTTAAATTTAAATTTTAATATTTTCCTTTTAAGTTCTCTTATTCTGATATAAGAGATGGATTTACTTTCACTACCCTAAGCTTTCAAGTATGACCCAACACGGGCTCTTTTATGCAGGGTGTTGCTGTAACACAAGAAAATTCATTGTTGGACAACACTGCAAGGATTGAAGGATGGTTGGCCAGGTTCCCAATGTTTGATTGGGTAGGTGGTAGAACATCAGAAATGTCTGCAGTTGGTCTACTTCCAGCTGCACTTCAGGTTAGTGACTATTAAGTATTTAAATCCACGACTTCCACATCTTTTGAGTTGTCCTCACAAATGAACCTTACAACAGGGAATTGACATTCGAGAAATGCTTGCTGGTGCTGCTTTGATGGACGATGCAACCAGATCAACTGAGGTGAGAAAAATTCATTTATTTGTGTTCTGTTGAGTTTAACTATACTTTTTCTTGGTTAATGAATATGAATAGCATTGCATTTTCTGTTTGGTTATTTTTCGGCTAGAAATTCTCGGAGTTGCCCGTAGAGGTACTTTGGAGGGGATATAAGGTCATGGATGTGTCACAAATTATCACGCATGCCTTGTTCTTTGATTCTTGTTTAACTGTTAGCTTTTTCTTTGAACTGACTCTTCCTAGGGTTTGCTAGAAATCTTGTTTTTACTAACATGGTAAATTTTTATTGGAGTAACTCTATCATCCCAAAAATAGTTTTATGTTTCTTGATTGTTCCACTATAGTTTTCCTTTCCACTGTATATTGTACATATGACGCACGTGGAGAAATAATATAGCACTTATGTTGCCTCATCTGTTCAGATTAGAAATAATCCTGCAGCATTGCTTGCTTTGTGCTGGTATTGGGCTTCTGATGGCATAGGATCTAAGGTAACTGGCAATCTTGCTATCCGTAATCTGTAGTCTTGAAACTCATTGCTACTGTATTTACCATGATTAATTATTGTTCCTGTTTTATCTCCTCAGGATATGGTTGTTCTTCCCTACAAGGATAGCTTGTTATTATTTAGTCGTTATTTGCAGCAACTGGTCATGGAATCCCTTGGAAAAGAGTTTGATCTCGACGGAAATCGGGTATCTGCAACATTTAGGAGGATTATTCTTCTTGTATTCTGGTTTATTAAATGAGAGAAAACTAGAAAGACATGGAAACTATTACGTGCCTGAAGCCCCTCAGCACAGTTGATATCAATATAAAAAATTTGATTGTTAATTATTCTCATGATGAACAAATTGATATTGAGAAGGGGTTGTATGCATTTTGGATACACTTAGTGCATGTTTCATATTCCGACCTTTGCTATCATTAGATATGCTACCATTGACATGAATAGAAAAGATGAGCTAGTAGACTACTCCCTTCTTGCTGTAAACCATCCTTAGAATGATTGTTTCCATTGAAATTTCAACATTGTAAGAGATAAAAGGATCAAAATATTTGAGGCTTCATATTCTGAAATTTTGACAACCATGGACAACATTTCCAAAATGTCCCAAGTATCCAAGTGCAGAGAATGCCTATTTTAGGAAACCATTTTGCTTTTGTTGTGTTAGCTCGAGATGCATTGACTAATAATTTGGCTTATTAAATTCACTTCTTGCCACAGGTTAATCAGGGACTTACAGTATATGGGAACAAAGGGAGTACAGATCAACATGCGTAAGATTTCATACTAGTTGAAATTTATATGCCTCGTAATGTGAACCGTACCTAGCTGTTGGCACCTAATGCACATAATAACTTTATGCAGCTATATTCAACAATTGAGGGAAGGTGTGCACAATTTCTTTGTGACATTTATCGAAGTGCTGCGTGATAGGCCCCCTGGTCATGATTGGGAGCTTGAGCCGGGTGTTACATGTGGTGACTACCTTTTCGGTATGCTACAGGTACTAGTATCTTGCTTCTATAACAAATGCTTAGTTCAATTGTTTTGGCCTCTGAAAAGACTTGTGTTTTTTCTCTTAATCATTTGATCTTGTTCAGGGAACAAGATCTGCACTCTATGCTAATGATAGGGAGTCCATCTCAGTCACTGTTCAAGAAGTGACTCCTAGAACTGTTGGCGCAATGGTAGCACTTTATGAAAGAGCAGTAGGATTATATGCCAGCCTTGTCAACATTAATGCATACCATCAACCTGGTAAATATATATTTCTTCAGTATAAAATTCGAACTTTTCGCTTCTTCTAGTGTTTGTGTTTTATGTTCTTATAATGAACTTCGCAAAATTAATTCATTCACTGTCCTCACCTCCATTCTGCTTTTGCGTTGATCAAATGCTATGTCAGGTGTGGAAGCTGGAAAGAAAGCAGCAGGGGAAGTGTTGGCTCTCCAAAAGCGCGTCTTGGCAGTACTTAATGAGGCCAGGTGTGATCTCTTTGAAAGGCCCAGATTTTTTCATGTCTTCCTTCATTTTCTGAAATAAGATCCCTGGGAAATCCTTCTCTAGTATAATAAAAATATAAAAATTGAGGATTAGTATCATGTTTTAGAAAGACCACGCTCAATTTTTCAGAACATCCCTCCCTCTATATAGTAGTTTAAAGCACAAATTATAAGTGCACTCCTTAAACTTTCGTGTTTGGATCTATTAGTCCTTGAACTTCAGAAATATTTAGCAAGTCTTCAACTTTCATTTTTTATTTGATTCATATATAGGTCTTGTTTTTGGCATATTCAACATTTTTTTAAATTAACAAATTCATTAAATATAAGATTGAATTTGTGTCTAATAGGTTCGTAAATTTTACAGGTCAAAGATTTGACACAAAATTTAAAGTTAAGGTATTTATTAAACACTCGTTAAAGTTTAGGGATCAATTAGATGCAAATTATAGGGACTTAATATACACTTATTTCTTTTTTTCTTCTTTTTTTTTTTTTTTTTAAATTTTGGAGATTTATTGGACTCGAGTTTGAAAGTGCAAAGTACAAAAATGATTCCCTAGGCAACATCATGATCAGCATAGTCTTCTCTGTTTCTGTACTGGCTGTTCCACTTGGGGGGAAGGAAAAATTAATTTTGTAAGCCTTTGTGATAATTGATAATCTGTCTGTCTCTCAGCTGTAAAGAGCCTGTGGAACCATTGACACTTGATGAAGTAGCTGAACGCTGTCATGCTCCTGAGGATGTAAGCAATCCAGTTCTCAGTTTATGAACTTTTTTTAAAACACAACAACATATAATCTTTACTTCACTGATTCACGCTTCTATAATGTTACTTCAGATTGAAATGATCTACAAGATTATTGCTCACATGGCCGCCAATGATAGAGCACTGATTGCTGAAGGCAGTTGTGGCTCACCACGCAGCATTAAGGTTTTCCTTGGAGAATGTAATCTTGACGAGTTGTATGCTTAGGATTAAACGGCAGTAATGTTCTAATGCTCTTATGTGTGTTGTTGCTGTTTGGATCTCTTAATAAAATTGAAAATACTTTTGCTGTTGATGTCAATCAAGCTTTTCAGATCTCAACCTCGAGAATAATGGAAAATAATTCTATGATGAGTTTTTTTTCTCTTCTTCTTATTGCCCCAATTTCAATACTCATTTCTTCCCAAGGTACTTTGGCTTCAAGATTATCTTGTTAGATTATTGTAGAAGTTATCATAAATATACTTTCTGCAGTTGTTTATGGAAAATTGTCAGCCATATATATTTTTTTCTTTTGTTGTTGAGGATCCTACCTCAATTGGGACAAAACATTTTTTATAAAGATGTAAAAATTTAGAAAAAAAGTTTTAAAGACAATGTCTATTAAAAGTGGACTTAGGGTGTTACAATATATTTCTATTTTCTTCCGAAAAGGCTACACCATACATGAAATTATCGGCATCATAATTTTGGACCATCCAAGTTGTTTTGAATATGAAACATCATAAAAATATAAAAGACTCTAAGGTTACATATACATAGAGAGAGAGAAAGAGAGATTGAGATTTGAGTGGTTGCTTCCATGTTAGAAGAAATGGCATAAATAAAGAACTTTCATCCAACGAAACATCCTAAGAGAAGAAACATTTACAAGAGTGTATTCTTAAAGGAATTAATCAGAGGCATGAAAGAATAAACCCAAAGCCAACAATTTTCTTTTTCAGATCCTACATTTGAGCAGCAGCAACATATTTACAATGGGAAAACCACAAATTATACTAGAGAAGCTTTGATATTACTTGGCACGAAGTCCAGAAGGCTTTCGAAGCAGCGTTTAGAATCACAGGGTTCTGGTATATCCTGTGCGCCATTGCACGAAAAAGAAAATATCAGAGAACTCTTTTAATTGACACCGTTTTTAATAGTATTAATAGTATTAAGGTATGTTTGAAAGTGATTTCGGAATGGTCAAAGTCACTTAGTCGTGTCCATTTTAGTTTTGACATGACAGAAGTGATCTTGGAACCAAACGCGACCTTAATGGTCAATACAGTAAAGAGTCATCAAGCTAAATGCAAGAACTTTTTCATATGAAACTCTTCTAATTGGCACCGTTTTTAATAGTCTTAAGGTATGTTTGTAAGTGATTTCGGAACGGCCTTATGCCGTGTCCATTTTAGTTTTGACGTGACAGAAGGGATCTTGGAGCCAATGGCACCGTTTTTAATAGTCTTAAGTCATGTTTGGAAGTGATTTTGGAACGGCTAAAGTCACTTACGTCGTGTCCATTTTAGTTTTGACATGACAGAAGTGATCTTGGAACCAAACACGACGTCAATGGTCAATACAGTGAAGAGTCATGAAGCTAAATGCAAGAACTTTTTGATATGAAACTATTGAGTCACAGCAGTTGATTAACATACCCAACTGCAGTAGCTCCCCAGGATGCCACATTATAAATGACCTTGCTTCCATCCCAAGCCTTCCGGAGTTTCCCTTTTCTCTTCTTCACTGAAAATGTTTTGCAAAGGGCTGCACCAATGAATAGAGTTCAAAATTTAACACATAACATAGATTGGGGTCTACTGATATCTAAGATCATCGTGTCGACAAGAAAGTGTGGCATGTCTCACCATTCTGTAGTTGGTTAGGAGACAATTCCTGCAAGATAACAAGAACAAATGAAAGCGTGATTGTAGGCTCGTAGCTCGTAGGTAGATATGAAAGATAAATTGCCAGTTGCTATGCTTGTTATTTACAGGAACTCGATCAGCGAGTTGTAATTATAAGGAATCAGAATTTGTATAGCGAAATAGTCACACAAGACTCCATTCATCTTAAGTCGCCATCACGTTCTAAAATGTTCTTCAATCCAAAAAGCATCAAATCAAGACGAAACAACTCTTTCATTGGAATTAGACCAAGAAAATAGATCAATTCTATTTAACTCCAAAAATCACATGCCCAAATTTCACCATTAACCACAAAGTTTATAGTCACTCTTCTCTTCAATAGCTATCGAAGTTTGGAAGAACTTCCAGATATCTCAGCTAATCACAATGGACTACCATCCAACTGTTGAACTGAATAACATTTAGAATTCGTAACTTTTGGAATATTAAAATATGTGTTCACGAAAACTTTGATTCACGAGCTCAGAAACCATAACAACTTTACTTTTTACTCGCTATCCACGATGGCTGAACTCTGCCAAGTGTAAATAGCTCGAAACCATTCCTTTATCCAATAATATATCTTCCCGGATCTATTAAAATCTATTAAGAGCTAGATAACTTATTTCTAATTTAAACAAAGACACTTCTTCAGAAGCGAGAACAGATTCCTTGATGAATTAAAAGTAACAAAAGGACGCCTGTGAGATAAGTCGTCTGCAGGCCTAAAACATTCATCCACAGGATTAAACATCCAACCACGCCCGTGAGTTTGTGTGCGTGTGAGAGAGAGAGAGAGTCGTTGTGAGTATACCTTAGTTTCCTTTAAAGACAATAAGTATGCAGCCATGAAGCAAGCAATACCATCTACTATATCCTCTTGCTTCACAACAACATACCCATCTTGATCTAGAGCATCACCACTTTCCCATAGATCCACATCACTGACCACATCCCAAGAACTACATTCTTCTACCATTACAAAGCAAATAGGTCAAAAATAAAATGAAATAAATAATAGCATAAAGAAAATGGTATTTTTATCTCAAAGGAGAAGGTCCTGTAAAACCTAAATTTCGAACTTCACAAGCATAAACTACAACCTGTTTGCAATCCCTAAATAAAGCAATGATTAAGATTTGAACACATACCTAATGTATTTTGCGGAACTAATGCTTGAGCATCCTCTAGCTTTTCAAGAAAGTCGCGGCATTCAACTTTAGATTTAAGAAGATCGCACAACTGCAGAAAGCATAATATTTATAGTACAATTAGATTCCAAATTAGATTCCAAATTCCAATAAAGCATTCCAAACAGCAAGAAACCCATATGGTGAAAATTTCAGAAAACTAACTCCATCCTAGAATTTATCAGGTCGGTAGCTGGGTTGGGTAGGATGTGAAGAAATGGAAATAGCATGCATTCCCTTTGCCCCGTACTAAGAGGTTCCATTCCCCGTATCACATCCCAGCCTTGAGATATTGATATTAGGAGTTGGATGCTTGAGAAGGACCAATCTGAGGCAGAAAATGCATCCATTCCATCCACGTACGTACAAAAAACAGATGGAGGTCATCAAGCCCCCCTTTTTAGAATACCTAAGTTTTAGAATGCCTCCCTTTTTGTTACTACTATTGCAGGGCTCATCCATGGAGTTCTATACATGTGGTATTTAAGGGAGAGGGAATGTGTTCTTAGTGATTGCGCTTGTACTTCCATCTTTTTTTCAATGAGCTTCCTATTGTTAAGAAAGGCCGAATGGATAGAGGATCCTAGTTTCCATTTTCCAGGAAAAACATGCCTCAAGAGATTGTTGTATTTCACGTTTTCTTCAGGTGAATTGTAACAGCACAAGCTCACCGCTAACAGATATTGTCCTCTTTGAACTTTCCCTTTCAGGCTTCCCCTCGAGGTTTTTAAAACTTGTCTATCAGGGAGAGGGAGAGGTTTCCACACCCTTATAAAGAATGCTTCGTTCTCCACCTCAATCGATATAGGATATCGATATAGGATCTCGCATGAATGATATTACTTCTGATGCCCATTATTTGCTGTAAAGAGTTCAATCGAAACAAAAACAAGCAGATCCAGAAAAAAAAACATACATAATAATGTTTTCATTACGAATTGCTTCCAGGAAACTTCAAACCAGTTGTTCTAAGCAACTTCAAATCGATCTTACACCAATGCTCAGCACAATTCATAACACTAGAGCATCCTGAAGCTGAATCAGGAAAGACTAGCACTAGAGTTGTGGAAGGATACACAGAAAACAACTTCGATTCAACAGCATATGAGCAGCTACCACAAGCTAATAGACCAAAAACAGAACATATTCATCTTATCTGGATTTCAATCCCACATATTCACAAACATCGCGCAGAATTCTTCTAAATCAGATAGAATAGGAATCAAGCTAAATTCAACCAAGAAATCTCAGCTAAAAACTCTGAGATTACAAAATTTTAAGAACCACAGAAAACCCCCATACCTCGTCGGCTTCTCGGTCACCTCGCACAGACTCCGAACCCTCACCGAGCCGATCATCTTCATCTTCACCCCCATCATTCCCCTCGCTTTCATCGAGCCCGTTGGAATCATTAAGCGATTCGAGAGCTCTCTGACACTGCTCCAACACAGCCTGCAAGGTCTTCTTATTCACACGAACCCCATCGCCAATTGGACCCTCAAAATTCTTCCTCTTACTATTATCGACGAAATTCGACTTCGGTTTAGGCACCTCAGCATCCATGCTCTGGCGTGAACAAGCTCCGTCCGATCCTCAAAGACGATTGTTGGTTTGCTTCAAAGCCATGTGGATCGTCTTCTTCCCGCCGTCCGGTGAAGAACTTGGAAGGCCGAGAGAAAGTCTTTGTTGCTTGTGGACTAAATTTTGATGGCTGCTTCTGGGTCTTAGTTTCGTGTTGTGCTGCGAATTATTCTTGCTTTTTCTCTGTTAATCGATATGGTCTTCCGCGTTAAAATTTCTTTTTCTTTCTCTATTTTACTGCTACTATTTATTTCATTTATAAACTTTTAAAATATTTAATAAATCTATCTATCTATATATATATATATATATATATATTTTGATATATATATATTTTGATATATATATATTTTTTTATATTTGATTTTTAAAATTTCTGTCTAATTTGTAACTTTAAATGCTTAACAAATTCTTACAAATTTTAAATAATGTATTTTATTTTGTTTTAAAAACTTATGCTATCCATATATGTTTTTATAATGCAATGAAATAGGCCCTATTAAATCCGTGTTAGTCGAAAGCTTCGACCTCTATGAGAGTGGTGAGTGTTTGATGATGAAAATCCCACATCTGGTAATTTAGAAAATAATCATGAGTTTATAATCAATGAATACTATATCTATTGGAATGGGTCATTTTGGGAAGCCCAAATGAAAGTCATGAGAGTTTATGCTAAAAGTGAACAATATCATACCTTTATGATTGGTAAATTCTCAAATGTAGTTTTTGTTCGAGAGGAGGTGTTGGATGAGGAAAATCCCACATCGACTAATTTAGAGAATCTCGTTTAGTATTTGGTATTAGTAAAAACGAGGTTAGCCCTATAGCTTAAGGATTAAAACACATGACTACTAACCACAACGTCGACGGTTAGAATCCCTGATCACTCGTAACTACAAATATAATTTATCTTATTTTTTTGGATACAACAATCGGGCCGAGCATATGTGGGTACACATCTTGCACACTCACAACCCAGTAAATCATGGGAGACACCGAGTTCAATATAAGAAGTCTTTACCTTTGTATAAATAGAGTATAAAAAGTTATCGGATATAACTCAAACCTCATTCTCTCGATCCAAACCTTATAAAGATTTATCGTCTCAAATTTGACGAATCCTAAACCCTAAACCCTAAACCCCAACTCCTCAAATTTGAACGTTTTTGTGGTAAACACGACATAATTATTATATATATATATATTTATTTATTTAAAAAATAATAATATTTAATAATATCCTATTTGAACTAAAAAGACCAAAAAGTAGAAATGATTTTACTTTTTAATTTTACATATTTTCACTTAAAAAAGGGTTGGGAAAACTTTAATCATATGCCTTTTTGATAAAATCGTCGATCGAATCCCAGCCGTCCACGTCAGACACAGATAATGGGGGTCCCACTATTGTCAATTCCAATGGTAGTCCCTCAAACACAGGAACAAAAGCCAAACGACCACACCGGACAAACCTCCAAAAACAGAAGTCAGAAGACAGAAATTACGGAAAAGCCCTTCTGCGCCTCTTTCCCTCCAACACGTTCTTGGAGCAGAGAAGGAGCGGGAATTGGGGTGACGTGTACAACTGCCGCCCATTCGGAGACCCCGCTCCGAATGGCGCTTGCTTGACCAACGGACGTCTGTTGGAGGAACATTTCTGGTTCAATCCATCGCAGGAAGAGAGAGAAAATCAGAAGAAAGAGGAAGAGAAAGAGAGGGAGAGAGAGAGGAGACAGAAAAGGTTCACTTTACGCTTCTTTGAAAGAAATTCTTTCCCTCTCTCTTTTGCTCTTTTCAAATTCCATTTCACGAGGTATTTTTTTTCGAGTCGGCTGTGGTTTGGAATAATTAGAATAATCCTGCATTATTCTTTTCGTTTCGCGGAATGAAACGCATTCTGTCAAAACCTTGATTCTGTTTTTTGGTTTATCTGTGGATGTTTCAGCTGCATTTTGATAATGATGATCAGTCTTTGTTGCAGCGATTTTCAGTCGATTGATTTGATGATGGATACGGTGCTCTGATTTGAGGATACGACGATGACTAACCGAAACGCCGAGCCTTTTCAGGTTTTGTTTTGTGTGTAACTTTTAGCATTGAGATTACCGAGTTTTTGATCGGTGTTGCGTTGCCTTTTCTTTCTCTCTCTCTCTTTCTCTTTTTGCATTCCGGAATGTTCGTGGTGTTTGTGTTTAGATGTATTCGTACGGGCAGTGGACTTGAAATCTATCTTTTGATGCTGTGTTGCAGGGAGAATCCGACTCTCCTCCGCCGCCGCCACCTCCTCCTCCGCAGGATCCTGCTGATGGTTCTTGTGCTGGAAACACGGTCAGTTCTTTTTTTTTTTTTTTTTTTTTTTTTTTTTTTTTTTTTTTTTTTTT